ATCGCTTTTTAATAACAACACGTTAACAGTATTTTAGTTACATCGTGTTGTGTTTGCTTAATGTAGGAGACAACAATTACAAGGGATGCATGTTTAGTGTCACACACACACACACACACACACACACACACACACACACACACACACACTCACTGTAAATCCTAACAAATTAATATTGTCATATGTTATGAAATATTTCGGAATAAATGTATTTGGAGAGCCATCTTACATGCACTTGGCTTCTGGGTTGCTGCATGTGCTAACTTGGCATGGATCCACGAAACAGTAGACTATAGAGCTGCCATCTGGACACACGTTGACATTCCTGCCCTCAACTGAAGACACAAAAACACCTTGATGGAAATTGTACAACTGAGGCATTGAAGGGGAACAGTGTCATGTCTGGTGCAAATTTTCCTCTTGACTTGATATACATAACATTTTAGGATGCGGGCTAGAATTGGTCTTCAGCAGCCCATGCATGTCGTAAGAAGGTAAGAGGTCTTCAGCGACCCATGCATGTCATAAGAAGAGACTAACGGGATCTGGTTGTCAGGCACTGCTGTCTTGGCTGATGCGTGTCATCGTATCCCAGTTGCGTAGGTCGATGCTCGTGATCACTGGATTCTCTGGTCCAGACTTGTTCACATATAGACTACCGTCATACAGCTGGAATATTGCAGAGTGTGGCGTTGAAAAATACATAGCAATTTTACCAGCAGACAAATAAAATGATCAATGGGATGAACTTAATTTGTGACAAATTAACGGAAATGAAAGCATATAGTTGTGTTGGAACACATTTTGATTTAAGGCATGGGCATCTTCCCAAGGCAATTGAGTTAACTGACCATAAAAGTCCAATTTGCACCCATGCCGAACTGGCTGGAATGCCTGCGCTCGCACCTGAGGCTAGTGCGAGTTATGTCCCTCCTAAGTCCCTCCTATTGACCAATCAGATTCCACCTCTCATATCGCTTACACTTCAAATAAAATGGCGGCGCTCAGTCAAGACTATATGTTCGATAATCAAAATCTATATTGTAATAAAACAGGTCTTACTTCGCGAAGTGCATCAAATCGCGTGAGCACCTTGATCAGAACATGTAAAGATTTGAAAATATCTGTTGACGCTACGTTGTCAGTACACTTGCTTTGAAAATCCTGTAGCCGAAATCTGAACGGCAGTTAACGAACCGGATGTCGATTGCTTTAAGTGACTTTAATTGAACTATGCATAGACTCGTTAGTCCAGCCAAAATATAACTCCATAATTCCAGCCTAGTTCGACATGGGTTGAAACTAGACTTTTAGTCAGATCACTCCCTTGTCTCCGAGAGATGGGTACGGGGAATTAGTGGTCTTTACTTCTTCTTATGTCTTGCCGCTGTGCCATAAAAAAACAAGTTCGTTTGTTTGTTGTTTAACGCCGCACTCAGCTATATGACGGCAGTCTGTAAATATTCGAGTCTAGACCAGACAATCCAGTGATTGACACCATGAGCATCTATCCACCCAATTGGGAGACGATGACATGCATCAACCAAGTCAGCGAGCCTGAACACCCGATCCCGATAGTCGCGTCTTACGACAAGCATAGTTGCCTTTTACGGTAAGCATGGGTTGCTGAAGACCTATTCTACCCTGGATCTTCACGAGTTTTAAATATTATGTTAGTCATTACAATGTATAGGAACGTACTACTGCAACTATGAAGAAGTCTATATGTACCATGTCAAATACAATCTAAATCAACTGAAAAAAGATCATACAATGAATACTCATAATAATCATAAATGAAGCTCATGACGCCACATTATTGCCAAAATCAATGGATAAGTGTGCAACAGTGTCTCAGCTCACTGGGCAGTATAAGCTGCCTGTGAGGTGCTTAAGGTTACCAGACACAGTACCATCTTGTGCAATCAGTGGTGATCTACCTTCAGATGCTGGCGATCTATAGCCCACATTATACTGTTTCATGGAGTGATACCCTTTTTATGGCTATACGCTAGTTTTAAATATTAATCTGTGATATTCTAGTTATTTAAATGTCCATCGATGACAGTTTTTAAAAATTTAATTTAAATATAAACATGTAATTTAAATATAGATAGAAATAATGTATAATTTCTCGTCACGATATGGCTGAAATTTTGCCGATGTGACGTAAAGCATAAACTCACTCACTAATATTTCACCTCTGGGTGAACCGACGTATATTTTGAATAAGGTCAATTGCCTATAGAGAAACATGGCAGGACCAAAGCCCTATAAAACTCGTCAGTCTAGCATATTTTCACCTGATTTGTTACATGTGTGCTGTATAAAGGACCACATGCCACCAGAAATAGCGTTACCACATGCCAAAATTTACACACCTGAAGAATTCAAGTTTCACAATCACGAACATTACATCCCGACATGACATGGAAAGGAAAGTGACTAAGTCTACTAATTGATCCAACTACCTGCGATAAACAGCCCCAACACAACAGCAGCAAGAACGAGTGACTTCATGATTGTCCCGAATTGGAATCAGATCTGACGATTGTTGCCAGCGTACTGCAGCTGAGAAGGCAAGATAACTGCTGGTGTGTTCAGAGAAAACAACCAATCAGTTAGGAACAGTTTTCCACGGACTTTGGCTCAGGGACTTTTGTCCAATAATGTTTGGACTTGACTTGTCCTTACGTGTGTTTATCATGGATGAACAAGATACGCGCACCTGTTCGCGGACACCTGGTATCAACACTACTTAAACACATCACTTCTTTCAAACACTTGACTTGTCCTTACGTGTGTTTGTAATGGATGCCCCCCGTGAGAACAAGAAACGCGCACCTGTTCGCGGACACCTGGTATCAACACTACTTAAACACATCACTTCTGACAAACACATACTCATTGTTTAATCGGAATCTTACAGAGGATTCTGCTTTTATAAGAGATTTCTTATGTTTTTGTTTATCTAATAGATCGGCGTACCTCAATCAAGGCTGTAGTGATACGTTTTGAGGGTGTAATTGAACGTGCACTGGACTGAATGGGTGCAGCAGTTTTTTGTACGTTACCACATTGCTCAAAATTAGACCTGTTAACGTGTCATTTCAGAGACACACTTGAGGCATTAACAGTGATGAACAGGCCTCTCTAGTAACCCGATGCGAACCGAAACCATGATATCCAGTTCTTCTACATCAGACATGGAAAAGTATGCATCAGTTTCATTATTCATATAATGAGCTTTTTTCTGTCTCCCATTTACAGGCGGAAGTCATGTTACATGCTTCTTGTAAGATAAGGCGTCACGAAACACACTGACACCATCATTTGTATGTGGATTGCGGGAGTGTGGGAGTTGTTGGTGGAGCAGGGAATGCTTGCCCCCTTTTTGGGGTCCAGTCTCGGTACTGTTTGAGAGTAATTATAGTGTTATACAAATTTATGTTCCGTCACTAAACTAGCATATGATACTTTCGACTTGTTTGTTTCTGTCAGAATGTTCTTGTCAGTTGTTGAAACTATCACAGAAACACAGTCGTTATCTTATTGGAACAATCCCATCTCACCATATGGGCGGCAGATCAGTTATGTAGGACTGTGGTACGACATTCAGGCCACGTGCTGCAAGACTTCCTAAACCAAATTCATGACACATACCATAATAAACGTAAATAATACGCGATATTTTTATATTGATATGTTGCAAAGCTAATGGAGTTCAATTACTTGAACATGGTAGAGTAATAGGGGAAATAATGTCTTCGACATGGTCGCCGTCGTGGCCATGATTAAAGTTGGATCTGAATTCCATGAGCAAATTTTGAGACCATTGCTGGTTACGAAGAGAATTTATGAATGTCAACATCTTTGTCATGAGTGAGTGAGTGAGTTTTAGTTTTACGCCGCTTTTAGCAATATTCCATCAATATCACGGCGGGGGACACCAGATATTTGTCATGAGGAACACAACGTTTCGGAGCTTATGATCATTCCTTCGTCAGGTGAATAAATGCTATCGAGCAGAGAACATATATATGTACCTGTAACGAAAGTAATAAGATAACACGGGTGGAAACTTAACAAGGGTAGCCAACAGTTAATTGGCGGTGATAGGTGAAATGGAGAAATGGAAGCAAACGCTTAACAGTTAATTAGCGCTGAAAGCTGATTAGCAATAGACAAATGGAAGCCAACGCTTAACATTTAATTAGCGCTGATAGGTGTTAGCCAGGACTTGGACAAATGGAAGCCAGGACTTGAATTATCAACTGATTGGTAATAGGTAATGGTCAATGGACAAAAAGGTGATAGCGATGAACAAATGGAAGCCAACACTTAACAGTTAATTGACGACGCGTGCTATGAGGGTACTTCAAAATGTATTATATTGGACACTGTAATTATCCAAAGGAGGCAAATTAAACGTCTCCTCAGTTTCAATCTATCTCCCTTGTGAAATGTTATTGTGCAGATTGGAAATGTGTTATATATGTGAGAACCTAAAATTGAAGTGGTCGTGGTCGTGTCGGTCATGGACGACGTAGATATTTTAAAGAGGCAAAGAGACACGACTCACTCATACACATACACGCACTGAACCAGGATATTGACAGTCGCACTGATTACCATCTTGAGGTGCATGTTTTCCTGTAAGAGTAGCCTCCCTTACACGACACCTGCATCTTCCACAACTGCAAATGCTGCTTTCAAGATAAAATACAAGTTTTGTAAAGGAGAAGGAAAATTGCTGATGATGATCACATTCAAATATTCATTAATAAAATCATACGATCAACATGGCACTAACAGCTTGTGTTACTTATATGAATTACGCTTACACATTGATGTTGAGGTTGTTAATTGCAATACGTTTTTACAACATTTTTTGTTAGCCACCAGTTGTTTACAGCAACGTATAGAATAGGTCAAAGATAACGTTATCTGACTTCTATTTTAAATTTCTAGTTTCTACTTGCGTCACTCCTATCTGGAGACCCTTGGGTCATAAGATAAGGCAAAGACCAAAGCAATCATGGACGTTTTCAAAGTTTTCTTCTTTTGTCTTTTCTGCGATGTCCAAATTATTCCCTCTGCAACTACTAGTGCTGACAACAGTGACGTGATGAGTCATGTGACAGTGCTGCAGGACATGTTGTCAACTGTCCAGTCTCAGCTGCAGATAACCCAAGCTGACCAGAAGTCCACCTCAGATGAGTTAAGAACAGTTAAGTCAGAACTCAGGATAGCGGAGGACACAATTCATAGCATGACAATTCAGATCCAAGACATGCAAGCAGAACAGAATGCATCTTTGGCAGAACACGGATCTACCCTGGATGAACTTACTGCTGTGAAGGTAAAGCTGAATACAACCGAAGGCTATCTAAATACTGTACAAACACACGTGAAGGACCTGCAAGTGGAACTTAATAAAACAACCAACGACTGTGAGGCTCTGAAGTCTCAATTTGGGGCTAGCCACGACAGCCAGGTGAGGCTGGAGACTGAGATCAACCTTCTCCACACTGATCTCAAGAATGTAGAAGGCGATCTAGCCGTAACCAAATATTTGAGTTCACAACAAACCACACATATCGACAACATGAAGACAGACTTGCATAACCTTCAAACTGACATGGCTAATGTAAAGAGTTTCAATGTGGATCCCCTGTTGTCCCAAGTCAACACCACGCTACTGGATGCAATATCTGCCGATGTGAAGTCAACGAAGGATGAACTGAATATCTTTGAATCGAAACTTCACAAGGCTTCAAACGACGTGTTGTTAACAAATTCAGATCTTTTAAAATTGGCATTAAATGTGACAGATTTTAAAGCAAACATATCTTCAGAAGTAACAGGGATCAAGACTTCTCTTCTGCTGGGAGAGAGAAACTGCAAAACAATACAAAAGGACTTCAACCTGAAGTTCAACTCCACTTCGGGTGCTTTGGGAAACATGGAAGAGGCAGTTGAGGCCATGGAGATTGGGTTTTCGTCATCACGCTATGCTATCAATGACCTTAACCAAACACTGACGTCCTTCATGCACAGCGTATCAAACTTGACAAGTACGTATTTATGTCGCTGAAACCCTTACAGGTTATACGTAATACTCGACGTTATTCTCTTTTTACAGACCCGTGAAGATCCGGGTTAGAACAGGTCTCCAGCAACACATGCTTGCCTTAAAAGGCGATGGTGATTGTCGTAAGGGGCGACTAACAAAATCGTGTGGTCGGGCTCGCTGACTTGGTTCAAACATGTTATCGATCCCAATTGCATGTATCGATGCTCATGATATCAATAACTGGATTGTCTGGTCCAGATTCGATTATTTAGAGACCGTCGTCATATAGCTGGAATATTGCTGAGTGCAGCATAAGACAAACAAACAAACAAACAACCAACCAACCTCTTTTTACTACAATCTTGAAATATGGAGTCAGTATGTGTTTTGCTTGCAGCAAACTTTCAGACATATCATAAGCGACGAACACCACGAGTCGAACGGAGGTGATGAGTAAACGCTGTAACCCCCATTCAAATTGACAATTACATTTGACACAGACAGTGGCCTTACAGTGACTGATCATTTTTGCATCACAGAACAAATGACCATTTTTATGTCACATAAGTCAATATTTATACTTATATTTATCAAATTATTTTCCAATTAGCTTTGTTTATATTTAATACCCCAGTAAGCAATATTGCAACTATATCACAGCAGCGGGTAAACATTCGAGCATTGACCAGACAGACCAGTAAATATAATGAACTTCACTCCTGAGTTAAAACTTAGCACACACAGTGCAATGTTTGTTAATCCTACTGTGATAGGTCGTTGGCTCGAATCCTAGATTAGTCCCCATGTTACTGCCAACAGCATACCATTTGGGTTCTTCCTTTTTCATCTTTAAACTGTCAAACTGTGACGTTACTTGAGACCTGTTCAAGGCAAAGTTAACGCTTCACTCCATCACTCGCTCATACTGCTATGTTTGTTTATCGTCCAGGATCAGGTGCAAGAAACATTGCCTTTGAAGTCCGGCTGCAGGAGGAAGTCCATTCTGTACAAATGGGCGGAAAGCTGATTTTTGATACGTTACTGTACAACAATGGCGGTGGATTTGAAGCTGCCTCCGGTATATTTACAGCCCCAGTGTCTGGATCCTACATATTCTGGGCTCAGATTATGCTGGATCAAGTGGAATCATATCTGGAAATATTCCTAGTCCAGAATGGCCACACCAAAGGTAAAGGGTATGCGGAAACATCGAAAGAGACGGTATATGGTGTTGTTTCCATAACGACAGTCATGTATCTCAACACAGGGGATGAAGTATGGTTTGAAAAGTGGAAAGGATCACAGAACATTTATGGAAGTCTTTATTCCGGATTCGGAGCTGCTTTAATTTCCTCTTGAATTAATGTTAAATCAAATTAATAATAACTGACGATTCGATTTAAAGGTTTGTTGTTAATTATTGTGGCTTGGGCTAAAGTGTCATGCCTTTTCAAATAAAGACCAATGTCATATCTGTCTTGAAAACCTAAATGTTGGCTGGTCAGGCTTTCTTGATATAACTCATTGCTACATTATCCTTTTGTAATTATTTATAAACACCAAGAGGTTGTAAGACAAGACATTTCCCCAAGTGAATGGAGGCTCCATTGGGGATTTCTCACGTGACATTTGTTAATAGAAAAATATCCATCAGCATTAGGTTTTAAAATTAGAAATAATACAGGTTTTGAATAACTTTTGAAATTTCTAAATTGAAGACAGTGGTGTGGTAATAACGCAGTACCCAATTACATGACACAAGCTTGGTATCTTGCGATCTTTATACAGTAAAAATGTACCTGGAAAATAAGTTGTGTCTGAGGGGGGTCGAACTCATAAACAACATGATTGAAAATGTATGCTGTGTAATGGGAACTAGTACATAAGACACTGAGAGTTATGTCCCCTTCCCCCAACGGAAGTCATATGCATATGTGAGCACGTGTCTGGGAATAAGTGACGAAACTGGTGGCAAGTTGTGTTCATGACCTTAAATGCAACAGAATTATGTACTGACAAAATGAAGACAAGTGAGGTTCTCAAGAGGATGGATAATTGAAGGAGAATGTTATGGAAGACGGATGGTTTTCCTAATGAGTATGTATTGACACAGGCCGGCAGAGTCGATTGCTCTATAGGCCTAGTTCTATACTGATTTCAGATAAAATAATGTTCAATTTATGTCACCATTTACTTTTCGGGGGTGTATGGTATTTCGTGATTTTTAGGCGTGCAAATTATTTTATTTGATTTGAGGGTGAAAGATTACAGTATGTAAGGGGCTTTTGCACAATTTATCCCTTTTTGTCATAGCTTCTGGTTCTATACATCGTGTTCGGCTACGTTCAGGATGTCACACAGGCTATGTAGATCACCAACATACAACGCATCAGTTGTAGATTAATGTTAAAGTTGTGTGTCTGGTGTAACTTCAGAATGATCACACAAACTGGCTGACACTTGTGTGAGCGGTCAAGTATATGAATGTATTTTTTTTTGCCACTTCCAGGAATATGTATTAATATTGCAGCTGCCTGAATATCAAATCGTGGCAGATAAAATACCTTTCTTGCAATCCTTGTATATATACAAATGTCTGTGTGTCTGCACGCCCGTGTATAATCATATTGTTTGTTTGTTGATCATCCCAGGAGCAGCTGAATTTAGTCACAAGTTATACAGCTATGAACCTTAACTTAGGAGGCAGCTTCAGGTTTTCGATTTTGTAAATTAATAAATAATATATTTTCAGAAAATCATACAGTCCAACATACACACTGCCAACCTCTCAGCTGAGCACATTCCATTTCTAAATGAATCATTTTGGCATGCAGCTATGTTATACAGGCATTTACATAAATAGTTGAAAACATACATGTTAATGTTTAAATCTTGTCAGACCAAACTGCATACATATTACAAGTCTTATATTCTCCTCCTCACCTGAAGGGCAAAGCTCGACATTGTGTCACACATAAACTAGACATTAAAACACAATGTTATCAAGCAACTTATTTTATGTGATATGTCTAGTAGTGGTGCCAGAAGGTGCACATTATTTTGTTTCATGGCGTATGATTAAAGTATAGTACCAGTCATTGTTTATGCAGCTGTATAGGAATTCAATTAGGCCTGTTTTTGCACATTTTATCACTTTTTGTCATCAAATAAGTATATGCTCACATGAAGAAAGACATAAATAGTAACATACATTCATTATACATTCAGTAATTTTACTCAGAAGGGGGAATTGTTTTTAACGAATCATCCATGAAATTATGGCAATTTCTTCTGGTAAGTACATACCTTAGTAATTAGCCATATTGCATAGTTAATTATTTTGAGACTAAAAAGCTGTGAATAAGGTAATTGTTCACCTCAGTAATCACACTTTGATACTTTTCAAATGAAAACAATTCCATCTTTGGATTTCTGTCTATTTCATGAGTATTTCATGATCCAGTTGTCTTTTCATGTCATTTCATGTCATTTCATGTCATTTCACTTAATTTCACCTCATTTCATTTCATGTCATTTCATTTCATGATTGACTGCAATTAAAGCAAAAATACCATTACTCTAGATTGTAAATACAAATAAACTATATTTAAAAACATTTCTTTCTAAAAGAACATTGATTTTAGGACACATTAGGAAATCTATGGTAATTACAAAATGTTATTGACCAGAAGCAATGTGATTAATTCAAATACATAATATCACAATTATACATCAAAAGCTAAAGATATTAGTAAAAATGCTGTTGTATTTACCTAGTTGTTGACCACTTTTATCACCAAAGTTACATCATGTGGCTACCTAGCCAGCTGCGATGTAGCTCTGTGCATACCTTACATGCCATGATTACATGCATCTATAAATAGACTAGTGTACAGCACACCCTATTGGGCTTAAGAAAAATGAAAATAGTCTCCCTCTTTCCAACTGAAGCATCATCAAATGAAGACAGCTTTAAGTGTATGACCATTACAGTAAACACATTTCCAAATTTACAAACTGTGACAACCAGTGAGGTATGAGAAAATGTTAGTTTTGACCGTTGAATTGATAATATTATGGGAGGCAACAGTTTTCGGGGTAAGGATAACTATATGACGGAACATAGTAATTAGTGTAGTGTTTTCTTGGCTGTTTCTTGGGTGGTTTACTTAAACACACACACGGGGTCCAATCGTTTATTGCTGTGTTGATTCAGTTGACAGCAAAGTAAGGCAAAAGAGTGAATGAGAGATTCCCGAGATCTTACATGCTTAAGTTATTATTCAGCAAATTTTATAATGTTACAGTAGCAGCAGCAGCAGTACTCTATTTTAGCAAAGATAAGTATCAGTAAGAATTTTACCAAATAGGACTATAGGTGCAAAATATTTGATAATTTTGTGCATAGCACATCTTAATATCTGAAAATTGTTTCCTGAAATGACACAACTGCATTCAAAAAATTCCAGTTGTGTGAAGATGTGCAGGTGAGGCCAGGAAGCGAAATGCCGTTTGAAGCAGTGATGTAAGTTTATATACCGAATAAAACTGTTTGCTTATTCTATTTTATATTTCAACTCGCTGACTATAATTATTTGGATAATTTCATAATTATAATGATTGATTTTCTTTCTATGTATTTCTGGATGTTCTGTCATAAAATATAATTCATATTATTATATGGGTATTTTTTTTAAAGTTATTGACCCTGAAGGTAGATAAGTTGCTTACAGTTGGATGAACATGCTAAATATATGTCTTTTGAAAGTGTTTCGCTATATATTATGTTTTTACATCCTCATCATGTTACAATGACATCCTTATATTATGTCCTTACATTTGTACAATACATTTATGATATATACCAAGATCATTTAGTCTTGCGTGACCCTTTATACAAACAGATAATACAATACTACAATATTAAACAGATGATGAAGATATTGTAGTTAAAGGGATGGCACAGTTTATTGAAAATGTAGGCATATGTTCTGATCCATCTAACTCAAGTTTACATAAAGCATTTGACAACACCACAATATTTCACGGGGTGGCGTCTACCGCAGTCTACAGACGACAGGTTTATTCAAGGCTAATATGTACAGCAGTGCCAGTGTAGTCAAACAGGTTATAACTATTGGAGATAGGCTCATGTACCTAGCAGGACAATCTGTCTGCATTCGATATCACATGTGTGTTGCACATGCGGTAATGCTGTATTGCTCATCGTGATGTAGATGGGGATTCAGCTTAGCTGCAGCTTCACTCCTGGAGGCAGTGACACCAACAGAAAGAGCCTTTTGGGACAACGGTAAGACATTATAATCTGATGTCAATAGTTTCAAACAAGATTTTTTGTATATATTTCCAGAAGTATGAACTGCCCTTTCATCAGATATGGTTTTCCCTCCAACTTTTTACTTACAACCAGTTCAATACACATGAACAGGTTCAGTATGGGACTGATAAAATGAAGATATTCTGGTTTTACCTATTGATACAAGATCCATATGCGGTGAGAACAGGCAAATCATTTATAACGTTCTCAATATATATATATATATATATTCAGTGATACATATCAACTTGTCCAGACTACTGATATGCAGTATATGATTCTTTCATCATTGTCGCAGGAACAGGCATTGGATGTCTCAATATCCCAGGAGGGGATACCACGTTCAGCGTCAAAATTAAGTGGCCTCAACATGTATAAGCAGGAATAAACAGAAAAAGGAAAGTTTGCAAGGAAGACATAATCACACTGCAAAAGGAACAAGGGACAATTCCCTATTAAATAATTAAGATTCTAGAAGAAACTGATTACAGCAGGGCCAAGACATCACTGATTAGTTTGCAAAAAAACAATAAGAATTTGCAATACAACTTTTCAAAAATCTACTTCTACAGTAAAGATCAAACACCTATCTGTAGTTTTCACCATGTATTTACATGTAAATCCAAGAACCATTCTTCCTTAACCTTAGACATCCTAGTTTTCATTGATTAGGACTTCACCATTTTAACACAGTTTTGTTGTATGTGAAACATAGAGGCAAAGATCCCTGAAAAAGCATAAAAATCTCATGTATTATTAACTAACTATTGAGAACTAAATGAGGTCAAAGAAACATCTATATGTAATATTTTGCCCTAAATTTGTGTAACTGAAAGTAAGCCTTTTTTTCAACTTTACTTTTTCCTTTTTCCTTGATAAGCAGGTATCTTCCTGATCTTTCAGATCAATAACATTACATGTAACCTAATCTTGGCAACTGAACTCATGTTTGGTCTGGCCCAAAAACAATTTGATTACTTTATTGGAATAGATGTAATTTATGTCATGTAATTTGGATAACATTGATACGGGAAATAACCTTATTTCTATCAATGTTTACTCTTAATAAATGTTGAACTTGAAATACTTGAAATACTATTCTGGATTTATTAGCTCACTGGGTCCGAAGCACCAAGGTGACCTTGTGCAAAACCATGGCGTCCGGCGTCAGTACATCAACATTTTTTTCAAACAACTTGTTCTTCTGAACCACTAATTGGAAATTAATGAAATGTGACTGGAAGCATCCCTAGATAGTGGGGATTCAAAATTTACAAATGGTGGGGCTGACCCCCCAAGGGGCTGAGGGGCGGGGCCAAATAGGGGTAAATTGGCTATATTGCTTTAAGCGACTTCTTCTCTGGAACTAAGAGGTAGATAGCAACCATATTTGGTATGAAGCATTCTCCGGTGGTGAGGATTCAAAATTATCAAGGGGCTGAGGGGCGGGGCTAAAACGGGTAGTTTTGCAAAATTGGTTTAAACGACTTTTTCTCTGGAACTAAGAGATAGACATCAACCAAATTTGTATTTGGAAGTATTCTCGGGTGATGACAATTCAAAATTGTACAAATGGAGCGGCTGTAGTGTGGGGGTGGGGGGGGGGGGGGTGGGGGGTGGTCGGGAGGACGGGCCTGTAGTTTGTGTGTATGTTAGGGTGGTGGCTGTACTGTGCCTCTGTGGGTAGGGGGGGGGGGGGGGGGGGAGGGGGAGACAGCTGGGGCTACTCTGTGCCTCTATGTGTATGTGGGGGTAGGGAGTGGGGCAAGGGGGGGGCTTTATAATTGTGTGTGTGGTGGCCACCTTCACTGTATGCTGATTTTGGTAGGTGTGGTAGCCATCTTGACTGGATGCACATATTAGTGGTTGGGGTAGCAACCTTCACTGTATGCTGATGTTGGTGGGTGTGTCATCTCGACTGGATGAAGGTATCAGTGGCGGGTGGGTCAACTGTGGGATGAGGCACTCAGGTAATCTGGACCACAACACGGGACCCTGAGGGGCAGTTGTGTTTCTTGAGGATGCAGTGGCATATGGGGCGAGGCAGTAAGGACTACATCCAGCTGCATCAACTGATATGTAGTAATGCAAAGTTGAGTTTGTCTCTAGGCAAGAATCATACATGGTTGCTGGAACTTGAACTCGAATGGCAAGACTTAATGACAACCATAACACCAGTATCAGTTTTAAGAAAATTTGAAAGAAAGAAATTTTGGCTCTCGGCTGACAAATGTCGCCTTTTCTAGACTTGCTATGTTTTAAAGCGTATTTGGTGCAATACAATTTGAATGTTTAGTGGAGTTTTGTAGCTTGTAGAAACTTTGAAACAATCCATACTGGTCAGGTATTCTATGACAAGCACAGTAATCGGACCTCTCAACTTGACACATTCTGTCTCAAAATGACAAATATATGGCTCTCGACTGACAAATATCACCTTTTCCAGACTTACTGCATTTACATAGTATTTGGTGCAATAAACTTTTGACAGTTTATTTCAGTTTGTAGCTTTTAGAAACTTTGAAAAGAATCCATACTGGGCAGATATTCTATGACAAGCACAGTAACCGGCCTCTCAACTTGACATAACTGTCTAAAAATGACACAATTCTGGCTGTCAGCTGACAAATGTCGCCTTTTGTAGACTTGCTGTATTTCAAAGAGAAGTTGGTGCATAAGGTTTAGTGTGTTTATCACATGGAAAGGTATTATGACATATTCCCTGGAAATACACTGTAGGAGCGCCACACAAAGATAAGCTGTGTCTGTAGGTCACATATGGTACAGCTCAGGATGACGGTTTCCCAGGTGGTCGTGGTCTTTGTATTGCTGGGAACACGTAAGTTGTTACAGAACACAAGCTGTTGCAATTTTGCCATCACAAGGGATAACTATTTCAAATCATCATCTCTTAAGGATCTTTTTAATAGTATCAGTTGTAATTTAATTTTTGGATTTTTAAAAGAAATAGGACTTATTGATAAATTTTGATTGTGTAGATAGTTGATTTTTATAATATTGGTAGTGTTTAATGAGTAACTTAGTTGGTTAATGGCTGTATCCTCAAAGGGGGTTGTAGTATTGTAAAATTATTGTCCCCCTGAGAGGATATGTAAGACCACATCCTGAAAGTACGTTTATTCATACCACTGTTTTTAAACGGAGTATATTTGTTTTGTTTCAATTATGGCTTAATTGCGTACCATCGCCAGCAGCTGAAGGGATGGTGTAAATCCTGCTAGGGAGCCGTGCAGGTAGCAGACGTATTTGTAAGTCCCCACGGTCCCCAGTAAGGTGGCCTAACTTTGGTTGCTGGCGATCTGTAGCCCGTTTTTATAATGTATTGTTGAATAATAGGTTATTCTTTTAATTGTTCTAAACTAGTTTTACTTATAAACTGTGATATACTAGTTGTTATACTGTCCGTCGATGACATTTTTTTTTATACTTTAATATCAGTATTATAAATGTTCTCGTCACGATATGGCTGAAATATTGCCGATGTGACGTAAAGCTTTCACTCACTCACGTACAAGCTGTTGCAATGTACAGTCGTATTATATCAACTGTCGGGCCAAAGAAAAAATACACTTGTATGTTCACACTTCACTCTGCTCATTACTGTGTAAAGTTGCGACCCCTGTGTTCCTTGAGACGTCATGTGCACGTCACCTGTTGTGAGATACTCATTGGTATGATACACGTACTAATATAGCACCATCGAATAACCATATCTTGTTCGTTTCGTAAAGGGCGACTATACTTGTTATAATACAAACACTGTATAAACATTGATGTTAATAAGTATATATACCTATGTTGTTTAGCACTTTCCATCACATGCTTGATGAAGGTGTTAGGATCTACACCGAAACGTCGCACTAATTGTAATAAAGAAGTTGTTCATCCATAGAACTTGTCTTACTTCATCACACCAAATTTTAAATGCCACTTAAAGAAGTTGTTATAAGAGGCTTGTCGTAACGTGACGGGGTGATCAGGCTCACTGACTTAGTTGATGCATGTCATCGATCCCAATTGCGCGGATCGATGCTCATGATACTAATCACTAGATTGTCTGGTCCTGACTCGATTATTTACAGACCTCCGTCATATAGCTAGGATATTGCTGAGTGCGGCATTAAACAACAAACAAATCAAACATTTTTAGCAAAAATCAAACACTTTCTTTTACCCGGCAACATTATCTGCCTCAACAGTCACATTATATATGTTTAAGGCAACATTTCCATTTAATATGGCTAATTGGGATATTTTACAACGATTACAAAAAAGTGTGTCGATACCTATGCATGAAATAGTGACCATGGGCACTGGGTGCTATATATAATCGGTTAATGCGTATAAGACAATCACATATGAATTTCTCATATGTACATCAAGCAGTTTTAACTGTGATATGTAAATAATTAAGTAATATGTCAATACAAATATTAAAGCTTTAACAAAATGTTTATTAATATCAACGTCATTGCGTAAGAAAAATCATTTTTGACTATTCGTTGAAACTGATTCCATTTGGCGTGAAGGGCAAAATAGCTTTGAAAACTATGTGAAAGGGCCGCTGAAAATCAGCGATGACATCAGGTGTTCGCGAAAAGGGTAGTAAAGACATGTTTACATTTTTTAGGAATAAGTGTTTTATGTGATTCACGCCTTCATACTGCTGTCACCATGTTTTCGAATTTAGTGGTCTGCAGCATTCCCCATTCCCGAAGAGGGAGTTGTCTTCTCCTGTGTGGGGATTATGTGAACAGATCCTGTCCCTCTGGTTATGCGTGCAAGTCCAATGGTTGTGGCGCTGAGTGCATGAGGACCACGTACACCCAGCCAGCAGGTAGCCATTGCTTTTACACATTGATACAGTTGGACTTTAAATTTCTTATGATTGTGGAAAGAGTTTTGTTGCTTTATTCTTAATTCTCCAATATATAAGTCTGTAGTTCCTCTAACCATGTCACAGCCTCCATGGTCCAGTGGTAGAGCATCCGCCCGCAGAGCGGAAGTTCGATCCCCGGCCGCATCATAACAAAAGACGTTAAGATATCGTGTCAGAATACTGTGTCTGAGTAGGTTTTTTTATTAAATATCGGCGTGGTATCTCAGTGGGCGAGAACAATAAACTCAGCATCAGTCCGGGCCAGCAGTATACGCAACCACACACATACACCCGTGCATGCACGTCGCAATATAAGTGCAATATTCTTTGACGCGACATTAAACCCCACTTCCCCTCACCTCACCTTAACCACGTGACACTTAAATGTTAAACCACCTTGTTACAGATATTCTCAGCCTGACATGACTTAGATAAATTTCCAATCATTGATTCTTGCATGTGAGATGAGGTGAGGTAAAATGGAATTTAACGTCGATTTCAAGATTATTGAACGTGTGTGTTAGGGGGGTTCTTGTACAGGTCAGGCCTTACGCTGGTTTAATAGTCCACTGACTATTAATTGTCCACTGAGATACCACGCCACAGTTTAACATTTATACCGCACAGAATACTGACACCACGCCAACAAGTCCTGATTTTATCCCCTTAATTTCTTCAGACATGGTCTTTTGGTATGGGGGCGGCCGGGTAGCCTAGTGGTTAAAGCGTTCGCTCGTCACGCCGAAGACCCGGGTTCGATTCCCGACATGGATACAATGTGTGAAGCCCATTGCTGGAACATTGCTAAAAGCGGCGTAAAACCATATTCACTCACTCACTCACTCTTTTGGTATGACGCAGCCGGAGATCGAACCAGTGACATTCCACACTCCGAGCTGACGATGTTTGATCCATGCATCAAAAATCAAAAGAAGTTTCTTTTGTTTAACGCTACACTCAGCAATATTATATTCCATGTTTACAAATTCCATGAAAATAATTCTTGACGAGATAATCAAGTGAATAATATTGTGTGGTACGTTTACCACTTCGGTGAAACCCATGAGCACGGGTATGGTGCTGACAAACCTAGAAACACTGTCGGGGGAACCGGGATTCCAACCAACAATCATAGGTTTCTGGTGTGCCCAAGGGACGCAACTCTACACAGCGAATAGCGGCGCCTTAGACGAGTGGGCCACCTGTGCCCCACCCACCTCCCCAATGAATGAAGAATGGCAATCTCCAAGTGCTCGTTGGTGTAACGCCCCACTTTTTCCTCAAGGAGTGAGATCTGTATGAACGTGGAATAAGATACATATAGTTTTGTTTTCTAGAAACGACTTCAAATTATCTTCTGAATGATTCGTCAGTTATCTATCATGGCCCACTGTTAACAGAGCGTCCGGTATTCGTTCACTATTCACAGAGTGTCCAGTATTCGTTCACTTTTTACAGGATGTCCATTATATGTTTACTGTTTGTGGGGTGGCCAGTATTCGCTCACTGTTTACAGGGTGTCCAGCATTTGAATGTCAACTTCACTGTCCACTGGGGTACCTCAGAGATTCTAAGGGCTGTGAATCCTGCAAATGTGACTACTCCGCTTTGGCAATAGGTATGTCATAAAATACTTGATAAGTGTGAACAGATCGTCTAATTCTTTGCAGTTACTTCCATCATATACATAACTGTGTAATCACGTGTGCTTTTATACTGAACACAAAAATGTTTGTATCATGAGTATTTTGGGGATATTATTGAATACTCAGTTTCTTTAGATGTGTGCGGTATATAAAAATATTTCATGACCCCTACCCGTGAAGATCCGGGGTAGAAGGGGTCTTCAACAACCCATGCTTGCCGTAAAAGGCGACTTTGCTTGTCGTAAGAGTCGACTAACGGGACCCGGTGGCCAGGCTCACTTGCTTGTTTGGTACATGTCATCGTATCCCAATTGCGTGGATCGATGCTCATGATGTCAATCACTGGATTGTCTGGTCCAGACTCGAATATTTACAGACCGCCGTCATATAGCTGGAATATTGCTGAGTGCAGCGTCAAACAACAAACAAACAAAACAAAACTTATGTATATAATTCACAAATCGGTAATAAACACAATATATTTTGTCGATGCCTGATTTTGTCAACGCCAGTTGTAATTCCTGATTGATATAACAACCAACTGACATTGCGGCACCAAATACCAAAATATGGCACAATAAAAGGGGGGAGTGCATCAAAACACAGATCCAATTCAAGGGAATAGTTGGTTTATCAGATTATGCTAAATATATATGCTGTAATATCTGTTAATGATGTATTCTAGAAAATGGCTTTTTTTCACAGCGCCTGGCAAATGAACTGATTCAAAGGAAGGAACTATAATATTATTCACTTCACTCGTGTAATAATATACCCATAAAGAAGTACAGCACCTGTCCAAAATTGGATTTTAAATCATTTTTGTTGTTGTTTTTATAGTTGTTGTTATAATTATTATAATTGTTTAACGCGGCTCTCAGCAATATTCCAGCTATATGACGGTGATGTGTAAATAATATCGTCTGGACAAAACAATCCAGTGACTGACATTATGACCATTGATATACGTAATTGGGAAACGATGACATGCATCAACCACGTTAATGAGCCTGACAACCAAATCCCGTTGGAGGCCTCTCGGGGCAAGCATGGGTTGCTTAGGACCAATAACTCGGAAATTCACTGGGGACTTTTTGTGATGTTTGTGTTTATGAAATGATAATACGTGACCTCAATCAATGTTGCATCTTAGTAGTGTGGTACCAGCGGATTTCCGAGATAATCCGGTTACGTAATATTACGCAATGATTACGTCACCTCGAAAATTCGCTGGTTTGGCCCTGGCCATTGTGAATGGAGTCGGAAATAACAATAGATCAAAGGGGGGATTACGGAAAGGGGGTGACACCTCATGATGACGTCAGAAAATGGCGGCCATAACCTACGTTGTTGTGTTTCGGGGGTTGTCCCCATGGTGAAAGCCATTTTTCATGGGGTCGTGTGACGTCATAGTATCGCGGGAGAAACGTCGCGTGATCATTCCTTATAGGGGTAGGTGTTGTGTGTGACGTCATAGTATCATGGGTGTATCATCGCGTGGCCATACCCTAAGCATGTGCGCGCGCGCGTGTGTGTTTGTGACATCGTACAATGTATTCTACTCGTGACGTCACAACACGGCGATCATTAGCGTGTTTTCGTGTGTTTGTGACAAGCGGTTACGGCTAAAGGGACATAACTCTATATACCGGAAGCGGTTATGAATGTAAGCAGTGACAGTGATTGAGGTAATTCCAAAGTTTGGTGAGTATCGGTAAGCGATCGACTGTTTAGTACACGTTGCTAGTGTATCTGATTAGATTGTAAGCGTGTGTGTAAACGGAGTTCGGGGAGGGTAGTTTGTGTCAAGATCGCAAAATAACCCACAGAACCGTACAACGGTGTGTGTGTGGTCCGATCGTGTCTGCCATATTGTAACGTCACTGTTCAGCGAATCAATGAACTAGCGAGTGTTGTATTCTCGATTACCGTCAGTCTCGTTGTTACCTCATAAATAGGCAAACGTTATAGCATAACAAATTTTGAAGGTGGTCTGTAAATGTCGTGCTGTCTATGTAAAGCTCTCTCCGCAAGACAAATGTATCGGTGAAACCCACGAGAACGGTTATGGTGCTGACAAACCTAGAAACATAATCAGGGCGAACCCGAATTCGAACCCACAATCATAGGTTTCTGGCGTGCCCAAGGGACGCAACTCTGCACAGCGAATCGCGGCGCCTTCGACGACTGGGCCACCCGTGCCTCCCTACAATACAAGACCATAAGACAAATGTATTTAGACACTCAAAAGAAAAGGATCACATGTCCCGTCTATGTATAGCAGTGATGAAATGCACTTTTTTTTTAATGTCCAAAACTCTCAGAAATTAGAAACAAGTTTTTGCCTCAATACTACTGTATGTATCCTTCTGCCGTAAAATTCTCTCATTTGATGTCCATTACTTATAAGCCAACTCTATTAAAACTGGCAAGTTATATAAGATCATGTATGGAAATGTTCCACTGACAGGTTTTCTTCATTGTATCTTATTCCTGTGTCCAATTACATCTCTGTATCACTGCCGTGATTTACGAGAATAAACATCACTCAAAACATCATTCATTCTACAATACAAGACTGTAAGACAGTGATATTCTACCAAACAATATCTATAAAAAAAAATATCGCGTCGTGCTGCCTATGTAAAGCTCTCTACAATACTCGACTGCATGAAGGCGATATTCTAATATGGCTGAACCACCCCAAACATACCCCACGAGGTAAACAACGGCAACTCTTTAAATAAAAACAAAACAGAGGCATTAGATGTCACATTACAAAATATTTATTCACAAGCGTCCTCTTACATATACATCGTGAATAAACAGTACATAATTGAACATTAATACAGTCTCTATACTAAGAGCTTGCAAACTAACTCAAACACACAAAAAATTGGGGTACTAGCTATCACACCGTAGTGTACATTCTTCCCGCCCTCTTGACGACTTCATCATAGTCGAATCTACTAGGACAGGTAAGCGCAAACCTGTTGCGTTCAAAGTCAATGTCATCTTCAGCACACCACTTCCACAAGGGTGCAGGCTAAAACGGCACCTCAGCAAAACGTCACCCATTTCTCTGGCGAAAACGGCACCGCATTTGGCGAAAACGGCTACTATGAGTCGGGCGAAAACGGCACCTCTATTTTTAATAACCATAACAACGATTTTTGTAGTAATATATAGGGTTTATTTACATGGTATTTTATTAGGGATGTATTTACATTTCCTCTTTTCAGACATATAAGTAAATATAGGATCCACTGGTCACAGTTATCACATGATACAGCACGTTGATTTCTTCTGACATTCTTCTCGCATGCAACACATCGAAAGGCCATTGTGAATAATTGTGATCCGACAGCATCATGTTTGGCCTCTTAAATACAGTTTCAGCTTAAATTGAGTATTGGTACTTAAAACTTCAAAGCGTATAGTGTTTTCACAATAAGTTAACTACGCCTCCCAATCAGTTGAGTTGCGTATAAGCTAAGTTGGATTATAGTTGGAGTAGAGGCTAATATCTATTGTAAACTTGTTTTAACATCTCACAATTATTGGCGCTTGCAAGTTATAATGTAAGTTTAATATCATTTATTTGACCAAGGTAAAAAAATAAAATAAGGTGCCGTTTTCGCTCGAGTCGAGGTGCCGTTTACGCCAATCGGTGCCGTTTTCGCCCGGTGACGTTTTGCTGAGGTGCCGTTTTCGCTATAACCCCTTCCACAATCTCAGACCACACCAAGCACACACGACCTTGTCCGAATGTCCTGTATAATAAAATCCTCTCCTGGCCAGCTGTGTACCCTTCTGAATAGGTTGCTTGGGCCAATCCTTGAAAGTAGCCATCCTCTCGTGTCCGTATACCATACCTTCGTCGTAACATTTCTCGCTAAATGAATCAGCAACCTCCTATTTTTCCTCGGGGGTGTCAGCGAGTGTCCGCAGCAATCTAACCCTGACCCTCCCGTCTGGTGTCTCTTCATACTTTCACGGTAACCATCGTGAGATGACAGTTTCCATTGCGGCCCATAATCCGTAACAATATCGCTGGGAGTCTTGAAATTAAATTTCATGTCCACTGACACACTGTCCTCATTAGCAGAATCATAGTCTCATATCGTCGCTACTTATCTGGTGCCGGTATTATTTCAGGAAACAGTCTGTTTATTCCTTTCTCCAACCATCTGCGACTGACTAACATCGTATATTGGGTAGGACTTCGTAGCGGAGACTCTAAAATATACGACCTCACTCTCTGACTCTCAGGCGTAGAATGGCTAACACAGACCACCTTTCAGCGAGGGCGTGTCCTTAAAGGGGCGGGTCTGACTTCCTCGGATATGGTGAGCGAGGAAAGGGTGGCAGCAAAAGGCGAAAAGTCAACGCTAAACAGGTGTGATAACGCGTACTAATAGTCCCCGGGTACTTAAATCCGAACGCGTGTAAAGCACACACTAGATGGACAGCTGCTCGAACGTATATAAACAGAGCAGCCAAGGATAAAAATGAAATCATATCAATACAAGAAAATAGAAATCATATCAATGCAAAAACAGAAATTATGTGAACACCGAACTCACAATAGATATGTGAACCCTTCTCACACACAGGAGTCCCAAAGAGGGACAGGTCAGCCGAAATTGCCTAGGCAGAAGGCGACCTCTTAAACACCTAATGCAACAACAACAACAAAGCACACACTACCTCACACATCGAACCGCATTACAAACCACCCTCACTCTAAACAAGGCCCTCACTCTAGAAGAAATACTAAACCAACAAAATAAACTAGAAAACTTCAAGGCCTTAGGCGTATTCTTAATGAAAACGGAACTAATAAAACGCATCTAAAAACACAATAACTTACCAAATCAAAATCACATAAACAAAGAAACATCCACCATAACCAGCTCCCTTAGTTCTCCTCCCCAACCCCATCGGCATCTACTCCAAATCTCAAAATTCCCAAATTCTATATAAGCAGCCCCTAAAGCCCCCTCTTGGGTTGCACAGACCACTTTTGCCCCTTTCGGAAACACATTAAATGGCCTGACCGGGCCCATGTGCGAAATATGCATCAGTCGGAAAGCGCACGTTAAATCTCCAAAGTAAGTAAGTAAGTAACGCTCAAAAAACGCCAATAAAGCAGCTAAACTATCCCATAAAATCCCAGGAATAAGCTTAAACCTACCCATCTCCAAATCAGAAATTCAAAGTGTCAACAAACAATAATCACCAAAAAATGGCATAACCTATATCAAAACTCAAATAGCCAAATCATAAATGTTCCAAAAAAACAAACAACCAAATTCTACATCCGTCCAAAAAAATCGACTGAGTAATTACTAAACTCCAAACAGGACATACCAACCTAAATAACCACCTCAAAATAATAAGAAAACACGCAACAGGAACCTGCCCACATTGCAAACAATAAGAAACCTCAGAACACGCACTCATACACTGCATCCACTACCTAACACACCGAACTACACTACAAACCACCCTAAATCTAAATAAGGTTCTTACTCTAGAAGCAATCCTAAACCAACAAAATAAAATAGAAAAATTCAAAGCGTTAGGCGTATACTTAATCAAAACAGGACTAATAAATCGCATTTAAAACCCCAATAAACTACCAAAACCAAACCACATAATCAAACTAACAAACTTCCATACTCAGGTCCCTTAGTTCGTCCCCCAAAACCTCTTGGCATTTTTTAAAAATTTCAAAATTTCCATAATTCTATATTAGCAGCCACTAAAACACCCCTACTGGATTGCCAAACAACTTTTTCCCCTTTTCGGAA